TGCATTTGATCCTTATTCATATGAAGAAGCTAGTAAGGATGAATGTTGGATTAGAGCAATGAATGAAGAACTGCAAGCCTTACTTAATAATAAAACATGGGAAATTGTTATTCTACCTCCTGGAAAGAAGGTCATTGGCTGCAAATGGATCTTTAAAGTCAAATTGAAGCCAGATGGAAGTATTGAAAGGCATAAAGCCAGGCTGGTAGCAAAGGGTTTTACACAGATTTATGGTGTGGATTTTCTAGATACATTCTCACCTGTGGCAAAGAACAATTCTGTTAAAACTTTATTGGCTGTGGCAGCTGCTAGAGATTGGAACCTACATCAATTGGATGTCTCGAATGCATTTTTACATGGAGACTTAGATGAAGATGTATATATGCAGTTGCCACTAGGGTTTCGTATTGAGGGAAATATTAATGGCCTGGTTTGCAAGTTAAAGAAATCGTTGTATGGGCTCAAGCAAGCTAGTAGACAATGGTTTGCTAAGCTTACTGGAACACTTTTGAAGAATGGTTTTTCTCAATATAATTCGGATTATTCCATGTTTATCATATGGATGCAGGGCAGAATTGTAGTTGTCTTGGTATATGTTGACGACATAATCCTTGCAGGTCCGAGATTAGGTGATCTAGAAGCTGTGAAGGGATTCCTTAAAAAGGATTTTAAGATCAAAGATCTTGGAGAGCTGAAATACTTTCTCGAATTAGAGATTAGCAGAAATGAAACTGGGATCACAGTCTGTCAAAGGAAATACTGTCTGGATTTACTTGAAGAGACAGGTTTTTCAAATGCTAAGAGCTGCAAGAGTCCTATCGACTATAAGGTAAAGTTGAGTGTTGGACAAGGGAAGTTACTTGATGATCCTGGTTGTTATAAGAGGCTAATTGGGAAGTTGAACTATTTAACTGTCACAAGACCCGATATAGCTTACCCTGTACAGCAGCTATGTCAATATCAAATTCAACCTAGAGACACTCATTTACAGGCTACTTTCAGGGTTCTTCGATATTTGAAAGGAGCTCCAGGGCAAGGATTACATTTTAAGTCCAATACAGATTTGGTTCTTAAGGCATACAGTGATGTTGATTGGGCAGCATGTCCTGACACAAGAAGATCCATATATGGTTTTTGCACCTTCCTGGGAGGATCCTTAGTTACCTGGAGGACTAAGAAGCAGACAATAGTCTCGAGGTCATCGTCAGAGGCAGAATATAGGGCTCTTGCCCATCTGGTTTGTGAGATACAATGGTTACAGGGGCTCTTGAAATAATTGAATGTGCAGCTTCCTATTCCAGTTAATGTTTTCTGTGATAACATGGCAGCTATTCAAATAGCAGAAAATCCGGTGTATCACGAGATAACCAAACACATCAAAATCGATGTTCATGTGACAAGAGAAAGAGTAAAGTCAAGCTTGATCAAGTTATGCTATATTCGAAGTGAAGAGCATATGGCAGACCCGTTTACAAAAGGTCTTACTCGTTACAGAATGGACTATCTACTAAACAAGTTGGGCGTTATTAACATCTACGCGCCAGCTTGTGGAGGCGTGATGAAGTATGATGGGGTTGTGGACTGGAATGCGCAAGAAGAAGTAGCTTAGAGGAGTAGTTCCAGCAGTCAACTCCAGCTGCTGCAGAGCGTTTCAGCAGTGCATCGAAACGGGAATTGGGCTTGAAGACGATTCGTTGTTATGGGGAACGTTTCGTGACTTCGCCTAATTCCTCGTCAGCACGGCACCGTATCTTCTTTAGTTTTGCGTTTTGTTTGTTAAGTGATGTTAGTTTTCATTCGTCCTATCACTGCTAGCCACCTGTCTTGGTTACACAGTGAAACTGGAATTTACCGTTGTACGGACGTTGTGTTTGAGTATAAAAAGAAAGGGATCCAACTAGGTAGAAGCAGAGGATTCCACCTTCGCCATTTCTTCTCTTCTTCCCTAAACTTTTTATATAGCCGATGGGAAAGAGGGGGGTTAACAAATATGACTAGGTCAAATGCTGACATTCTAGATGATGATAAATCGGAATACGGTTAAAAAGTTGGTGTGTTATTATTGACACCGCAAAGGGTTTATGTAAAGCTTACAATGATCTACTCTCACTATAACTCTATTACTAATAAGGATTAAAGAAAACACGTTCCTTCTAGTACTCTAACATGGAAACCCAAACTAGTATGGAATATCACTATTAATAAATTACATAAGGGTTATAGGTATAATATGCCCCTCTACTGGGAGGATTTAGAGTACTAACTTCATAGGGGTTAGCACCGTGCTAACCACTCTAATCACCGTTCAATACATATGTCTAGATCTGACGGTGAGTAGCAATGAGGGGCATATTTGCTATTTCGACAAATTAAAATTTAATAAATTAATTAAATTTTGAAATATATTTCTCTTATTTTTAATTACAGATTTTCAACGTAAAAATTTTACTACTGAAAAATTACTACAACTTATATTCGTAGTGATATCGTTTGTTTAGTGCTCTTGTATATCGTTTGTTTACTTGCGTCGTTTCTCATTTATTGGGCATAACTAATCTGTTTCTGGAAAATGACTGCTAGCCGTTGGGAAAGAGGGGGGTTAACAAATATGAGCAGGTCAAATGCTGACGTTCTAGATGATGATAAATCGGAATACGGTTAAAAAGTTTGTGTGTTATTATTGACACCGCAAAGGGTTTATGTAAAGATTACAATGATCTACTCTCATTATAACTCTATTACTAATAAGGATTAGAGAAAACACGTTCCTTCTAGCATCTAACATGGAAACCCAAACTAGTATGGAATATCACTCTTAATAAATTACATAAGGGTTATAGGTATAATATGCCCCTCTACTATGTAGTTTTATCAAACATGCCTCTTTACTATTTTTTACATCAAACATGCCCTTGTACTTTGGAAAAATGATCAAACATGCCCTTCTGTTAAAATTTCCATTAAAAAAATCATCAACCATGGTTGAACCGAGGTGTAGACGACCCGGCATCGGCAAATGAGAGGGAAAATGTCAGTTTTGTCCCCCATTTTATTTTTCTGGGTCTCGTTAAAGTGAAATTATTAGAGGTATTTGGCTCTACAAAAGAACCCAAAAATTATAAAGTGAAATTACCAGGGATATTTTAGACATTTGTGTCGCCCAAACCAACGTACGACCGTGGTTGACTGTTTTTGGATGAAAATATTAACAGAAGGTCATGTTTGATCATTTTTCTAAAGTACAAGGGCATGTTTGATGTAAAAAATACTAAAGGGGCATGTTTGATAAAACGACATAGTAGAGGGGCATATTATACCTATAACCCATTACATAATGGGCTAGTTTGAGCATGCTGTAGTTTTTATAGAAGCAGCTTCTGGTTGAACATTTTTAGAGAAGTACTTAAAAAAATAGTTGAGTGTTTGGCTGAAAAACTATTAGAAGTGCTTTTTAATATAAGAGGTTGTGTAAAATGACCATAAAGGATATATAATATAAAATAAAAATTCTAAACAATAAAAGGTAGTCAAAATGCATCTTGTTAGATTTCTTTTATAGTAAATAATATGATTTCATATTTTTTTATTTTTAAAATGATATAAATAAAATAAAATAAAAATATGGAAAAGATAATCTTATATTTTCTAAATCGGAGATTCTGCTTTTATGTTATACAAAAGCACTTTTTAGCTTTTTAAAAACCGAGCTTTTAGAAGTGTTTGACCATGTGTCTTTGTTAAGCACATGGTGTCCGGACCTGTGTAAACTTCAAGTCAGTATATGGTGATTTTCGTTTGAGCGGGTGTGTTAGTGCATGGTATATGATCCACTATGGAACCTCTCCCAACAATTCTGAGTTATTGTAATCAACGATTTCTTGACAATAGTATGATTAGGATTTATATGTTGTGTTTCCATTGCCTAGTTCTAATCATTGTCATTATTCCTAATACACAAGTAAATGTCCCATGTTTAAGACTCATCAATGATCAATCCTTGGCCCCTATGGTAGTGTCTCCTCATCATCATACCACATTAGCATTTGTATATATAGCCCATAATTATTGGAGTCAGTAAGTGACAAAATATTGCTGATAGATGTGAGAATTAATTAATAAAGAAAATGGTGGTGAGGCCGGAGAAGAGAACACATGTGGAGTTTGGTTTTTCCGAGAACAAGAAAAACCCACATGACATGAGAACATGGGCACTCATCTCTCGGTCAATGGCCACCCCAGTCCCATGCTTTGCTATACATTTATTACCAGAAGGGAATGTCTTTCTAATAATACTAAAGTTTTAGGAACATTTGGACTGAAAATATCGAATACCAAACTCAAAACTGTAAGTGATTTTAACGGTAGGATATGGTTCAATCACGGTTAAATTACGATTAAACTATCATTTACTCTTTTGATATCACCTCTGATACGGTTTCATTTACAAAGCGGTGTATGAATTTCCGCTACTAGTGCGTAACTGGTTTCGTTATAGCTAGCTAGTCCGGTCGCATTCTGTAGCTAGCATGCAGTTGGTTGGCATGATATCTTAATCAAGGGCATGACTAATAATGGCGCCCATTGATCTCTACGATCAGCTAGTGACAAACAAATGAACAATACATGATTGATCTCAAAACTCGGATAGAACTAAAAAGGATATATGGTTACTTGTCCGGTTCACTTTCATTTTTGTTTCCTGTTTCCTGTTTTTATGTCATAAATTTGGAAACCGAAACGGGAAAAATTATTTACTTTTCATTTCGTTTTTTATTCGTTTTCTACTATGAAAACACAAAGTGGCAACTTCCTGCTATTTACAGAAACGACAAAATGTTGTTTTCACCTGTTTTCAATATCTGTTTTCTCAAAAATAGGAAACACAGGAAACAGAAGTGAAAATAAACAGGCTAATCTAACTCAATGTCATGACGGGTTCTCTCTCGTTTTTAGAGGTGCTCATTTGCTTATAAACTATTAATTCAATCTGATCAACTCACTAAAAATGACAAATCTATTTCAATTCTTTTAAATTCGAACCACTTAACCTGAATCCAAATGGATTGGTGCATTAGTGAATTGTTAGAAAATTAAAGTTTAGTATCTCTATTGTTTATATTTTCTAATTTGGTACATAAGTTTTAATTTGTTAATGAAAACATCACTGAAAAATTACATTGTGATACCGAAATTTTTTTATTATTTCATTTTAGTACCTAAGATTTTCAAAATATTCAAATCAATCTATTGTTTATATGCCCACTTAGATCCATGAATTCACCAATCCATTTGCCATGTCTGCTCGTCCCTTATGGATGTGATATATACATGTAGTATTTTCTACGTACGGTTGTGAGTTGTGACATCATAGAAGGTAGTGCTATAATGAGATATTATAACATTGCACTTCGTGGAATATGCTCCTACATATGTCATCATGTCATAATCCACAATTTTTTTTTTATAGTTGACGCAAACCTGACCACTCGGAATAGTCACGTTGCTAAACATGCAACGTGACTATTAATTAACATTGACATTGACATTGACATTGGGCAATACATTGCTAATTAAGAAGTAGTTCAGGCCTCGTCACTAGCAAATTGAAAGACTAAAAATCACCAATATATATAATCTCCAACTGGTGGATTCCTTCTACTCGCAACAGGATTGCGGAAGTAGGAAAGCTAGCTTTCCCAAAAACCAGGCTGCTATATATATATATACCTCTATTTTCTCAACATTATTAAACCATTAATCCCTTTAGTTTAATCCTTCTTTCGTTGTTTTGGTTGCTAATCATTGCTTTGAATCAACCTACATATAATTAACATTGACAGATAAGCTGACCAAACCACTACTCGAAGATGGTATCTAATTGATTTTAGACGTAACCCTTCTGTCGACTGTTCTATGGATTGGATTGAACGGTTGAACCACTTCTTACCATCTCTGGGTTTTGGTCCCCCAAGATTCCTGATTTTGGTCATTTGGACGTCAAACCCACCAAAGAAATAATCAGCCACCAGCTGCCCCAGCCACCCAAAACTAATAAAGGCGTTTTAACGAACTTTAGCCATTTGGGAATATGATTACCTTGAGTAGTTAAAAGGAACCTTTCATCTATAGTGAAGTTATGTATAATGAAGGTTGCATAAAAAGTTTCGTCTATCTCATCGTTTATTCGTTTATGCACATTATCATAACTTTATTATCTACAATTTCTGAAGAAGATGAAGTTTGGATGAATAGCAGCATAAGGGCAATGGAAACTCTCATCAATGTTGTTGCTACTGGGGGTCAAATCGGTGGTGATGTCTGATAGAAACATGGTTTTTAGGGTTTTCTATTAGTAATTAAGAAAAGATATATATTATTGTTAGGGTTAGTAGTATTCGAGTCGTATTAGGTTATTTATCAGGATTATTCCAGTGTTTTGCTATAAATATGTATTTTGGGTATACGTCATAATTAATAAGAGAAGCATAAAAAAAAAGTATCCCTATAAACCCTATTATCTCATTCTATTCCTCTAAACCTCGTCTATCTTCTCCCTTATAAGGCCGGCGGCCATTCTATCCCTATTCTGCCCAATTCCTCTTCTAAATCCCGAATCTCAAATTTTGTTTATCCTATCCTAAATCCCTAATTCTTCCCCAATCTGATCATATTCTATCAAATCACTAATCATCGATCTATTATTCCCAATTCCGTAACCCTACCCTACACGCTTTAGATAAACAGGGTTTAATTCTATCAATGTTTCTCTCATCTTCCGCAATGGAAGAACCGCAAAAGTCCTGGAGTGATCGTTGGCTCGATGACAATACCATTCTCAAGGACAACGCTCCCAACCTGCCGATGGAGCTCCTGGATATGCCAGTCATCGAATTTGTTCTTAATGGTAAGTGGAATTCTTATTTTCTTCTATACTACTTACCCCATGATGTTGTCTCGCAGATTAACCTTCACCCTGTCCCGGTGGAGGACGCTCGAGCCTGGCGATTCAACCCCAACGGAGAATTCACACTCCGGTCGGCGTACGAGCTCACGGATAACACTGCGGAGCCAAAGGTGGGACAGCAAGCCTGGCGGTCGGTGTGGAAGGCCCCAACTTTGCAACGAGTGCGGGCTTTCTTGTGCCTGATGAATCATGGACGACTTCTTACCAACGCGGAGAGGGCACGACGACATCTCACCAACGATACGAGCTGTAAGATTTGTGGCGGCGGACCGGAGATGAACCTACATATAGTCAGAGACTGCCCCTTCGCTCGAGCAACGTGGGCGGACCTTCTTGAGGACGAGCCGGACTCCAGATTCCTTGAGACTGACGGCCAGAGGTGGAGTCTTTATTATCTATCAGGGCGGAGTAATACCATTGATGCTACTATGTTTGCAGGAACCTGTTGGCTCTTGTGGAAGAACCGGAATGACTTCGTGTTCCAGGACAAGTTGAAGACCCATACACAAATCCAGTTCAATTCAAGACAGCTCCGGGACGAGATCATCAACGCACTCGACCAGGAGAAAACAGTCTTCGTGACTGGGGGCACCCGAGAGCAGCGCCAAATTGGCTGGCAACCACCGAAGCAAGACTGGGTCTGTGTCAACACAGACGGCTCAGTCATCCATTCTCCTGAGAGCACATCCTGTGGCGGCATCATACGGGGGAGTGATGGCCGCTTCGTCAGAGCATACACTGCGAACCTTGGAGGGGGTTCTATCACTCGTGCGGAGCTGGCTGGTATTGTGTATGGGTTGGATCTTGCTTGGGAGCAAGGGGCCAGGAAAGTTCTTCTACAAACAGACTCAGTAACTGCAAAAACCCTGATTGAGAATGCGACCGAGCAACATATGCACTACTCACAGATCAGTGAAATCAGGAGAAGGCTGCAACGTGACTGGACGGTTCGAATTGACCACATTTTTCGCGAAGCGAACTTTGCCACGGATCACCTAGCTTCAATAGGACATTCGCAAACGATCGGAGTTCATGTAATGGATAGACCGTGTACCTCTCTACTGTACTGGCTATTTTTTGACCAGGTGGGAAGTGAAACCCCCCGTTTCGTTCGCATGCAATAAAGGTTTGGGCGCCCTTAGCGCCCTGTTCTTACCCAAAAAAAAGTATCCCTATAAACCCTATTATCTCATTCAATTCCTCTAAACCTCGTCTATCTTCTCCCTTCTAAGGCCGGCGGCCATTCTATCCCTATTCTGCCCAATTCCTCTTCTAAATCCCGAATCTCAAATTTTGTTTATCCTATCCTAAATCTCTAATTCTTCCCCAATCTGATCATATTCTATCAAATCACTAATCATCGATATATTCCCAATTCCGTAACCCTACCCTACACGCCTTAGATAAACAGAGTTTAATTCTATCAATGTTTCTCTCATCTCTGCACCGTTTCGATTGACACTCAGTCTGCTGTTAATGCAGCTAGCACACAATAATTAACACGTTTATAGTTTTGCTGGATGTACGATAAAACCATTAACCATCCATCCATACAGAAAGTCACATCCTAAACTTGGTTGCATCGACACGATCGGTAGCAACTAGCTAGTTCATTTCATCTCCTAATACCTGACAAAACAAAAATCTCACCCCTTTACAATAAAGATGAAGAGGATTGAATGAACACCACCCTACCTTTCCAAAGTAATCCACATACGTACACTAACCCCACTAATTGTTTTCGATGAAAGCAAGGAAGTGAATGTGACAAGACTCAACCACCCGAGTTATATATAATGAACTCTCTAGCTACTAAATTCCATTTTTGGTGAACAGTTTTTTTACTTACACAGGTTGGAGATGGAGATGAAACCATCCTAATTAATAAAGGCGCAGGAAAACTGAAAGGTCGATCTGTCGAGACTGAGGCTGAACCAGAAATGAGCCAAAAAAAAAAAAAGCGTACGTCCGTCTTTCGGTTTCATTGATGGACAACAAGCATGCATTTATCTGATACTAATGTACTAGTACTGTCTGTCTGGAGCTGGTGGTGCTGCCAATTGATAGGAAACAACGAACAAAGTAGCTTATTGATTGGTACCACAATCGAATTCAATTGGGACACATATTGAGAGAAAAGAATCTAACGACGTTGGGGCAGCATTCAAGTCTTTTTTTCGTTGGGATGTCGGCATCGTAGAAGAAAGCTAAGCTGGCCGGAAGGAAGGAAGGACGACTTACAGTATCCTCTGTGAATTGGATCCATTTTCAACTGATCTGAGATTTGGTTTGGGCTGAAAATTGCCCTGACCTCCCGTCTTGACCCTCGTGTTGACCCTGTCTGACTCGTTTTTGAAGGGTCAATATGTATAACTGACTCGTTCCGTCTCTATCTCCTTCTTAATTCTAAAGGGATGGGACGGGTCGGTGGGTCGATCCTAATTTACAAACTACTTTTTTACAAATTACGTTTGGTACCCAGAATTATTTTTTCTTACAATTTAGTACCCGAATTTTATTTTTTTACAAATAAGTCCTTAAATTTTGATGGTAAAATTACATTTGGCACCCAAAATTTTTTATTTTTGCAATTTAGTATCGAATATTTGTTGTTGCTAAGGGTCACAGAGTCAAAAACTGACCCATCCTTAAGTTGACCCAACCCGTCCCGACCCTTATAGGGTCAAAAGTTTACCCATCCCTAGACCTCCTCTATGGACAAACTGACTCGTCCCGATCCTCAAGGACGGGACGGATCAGGAGGATCAGTGGGTTTTTAGGGTCAAACATAGGGGTGGAAATCGGTACGGTATCGGTATCCCAATACCAAATACCGAAATCCCGAAAATCGAATTATACCCGAACATCAATCCCAATCCCTAAATATTCTGGTATCCCAATCGGTACTTCGGTATCCCAACCGGTATTATCGAATACGCAATTAATTACATTTAAAATAAATAATTAAATATATAAATTATATTTGATAATTTAATTTAGGGCATAGAGACTAAGCAAAGAGTCTTGAGTTTGCCTAGAGCTATGATATGGATAAGGAGAATGAAGGAGATGTGACATCTCAAGTTATTATCATTGATAATCTTTAATTTGACGAATTGAAGGCCGAGAGTCGACTAATACTAGTGTTTGCTTTTTGGTGTTATGAAAATAACAAGTTATGAGTTGAGAGATGAGAGTGACTTAAATTGGAAAGTCAAAATTGAGTTGGATGGGGACTTTTTTGTTGTGAAACAAAGATGAAATTATATATGTATAATTAAATGACAGTCTTGGTGGTTGAGGGTTGTGTAGTAGTGAATGAGAGAGTCTAGTTGAGAGAATAAAATACACACTAGCTTATATTTCGGTATTGATCGGTATTTCGGTATATACCGATCCCAATCCCGTAATCCCTAATACCGAATTACAATTGAAATTCAATCACAATCTTAATCCCTACGTGTATTCGATAATACCAAATATAGACAAATTCGGTACGATATTCGATATATCTCAAATACCCGTACGAAACTTCCAGCCCTAGCAAAACATACGCACCTAGATTTGGTCTACTTATTAGAGTTGGATAATGGACATCTAATAATCCAGCTCATTGAATCCTACTCATAGTAAATAGATAACAAAACAAGATTTAATATACAAGCTAACAAGAATGTCATCGTTGTTATGGTCTCATTTGCTCGACCTATATTATTATATTTGTGTACATATAAAAAAAAAAACACTACACCATGGAATCATCAACCCACCTCTCAATAATTAGTGATTATTGGCATAGTCCTTTTTTTTTCTTTTTCATTTTTCCACGTGTTGCTCAGAACTCTGTAGCAGCTTTCTCCCTCAACCATTTTTTGTTTTTATTTTTCTTCCTCACTTTCCCCATTGCTTAAAGCTACAAAAACAATCGATAAAAAACACCATAAACACGATAAAGCGCACCGTTTCACTTTATAATGTCCCTCACTACGACATCGTTTCATCTTCTCTTGTTCCTTTCCCCGCGAATAGTTTTCTCTCTCTCTTCTCCTTTCCCCTTTTCTCTTTTCTTATAAAGCGTGTCCCTCATCCTCCCTGGCACCGCGCCACCGCCCACTCCGCTTAACCTCAACCACCCTCCACCCTCTCACCGCCAAATGCCAATGCCGCCTTCAATTCCGCCGGCAGCCTCACCACCGCCGGTGAAATCCCCCCCGCCAGTGCTGGAGTGGTGACTGAAACAACAGTGAGAAGCTTCATTCACAATTTCACATACACAAACGCAGAGAGATAGAGAGAGAGAGTTGTTAAAAAATGGCGCAGAGCTTCAAGCTGAAGGTGCTAACTCTGATCACGAAGCTCTCCGACCGGGACACCTACGGCAGCGCCACCGAGCAGCTGGAATCGATCGCCGCCGCGCTCGACGGCGCCACACTCCCGACTTTCCTCTCCTGCATCCTCTCCACCGACTCCGCCGACAAGGCATTGGTGCGGAAGCAGTGCCTCCGCCTCTTATCCCTCCTCTCCCTCCTCCACGCCAACTCACTCGCCTCCTTCCTCCCCAAGATCCTCGCCTACGTCACCCGCCGCCTCCGCGACCTCGACTCCTCCATCCGCTCCGAGTGCGTCGCCGCCGTCTCCTCCCTCTCCGCCAAGGTCACAAAGCAGCCGTTCTCCTCCGCCTTTTTGAAGCCGCTCAGCGAGGCCGTGTTCACGGAGCAGGATTTGAACGCGCAGGTCGGATCCGCTCTCTGTTTGGCTGCAGCGATCGATTCGGCGGCGGATCCGGACCCCGGCCGGCTCGGTAGAGCGCTGGTCCCGAGGCTAGAGAGGCTGGTGAAGAGCGACGCGTACAAGGCGAAGAGCGCCGGTTTGGTCGTTCTCGGGAGTGTGATTGGAGTGGGAGGAGTCAGGGGGTACAACGGGATAAACGGCCTCGTGAAATGCTTGACCGGATTTCTCAGCAATCAGGATTGGGCCGCCAGAAAGGCTGCGGCGGAGGCGCTTGGTAGATTGGCGATTGCGGAAAGAGACGCCGTCGCCGAGTTCAAGACGGATTGCTTGAAAGTTTTCGAGGCACGGAGATTCGACAAGGTATTTCCAATTCCGATTCAGATTCCGATTTGGGGGTTTTCATTCTCTCTTCGTTGCCAAACAGACATTTCTGAAGCAATTGGAGCTGATGTGTGTAGGTTAAAGCAGCTAGGGAAGTAATGAACCAGATGATTGAAGCGTGGAAACAGGTTCCAGATGTATCTGATGAAGCTTCGCCTCCTCCTCGATCCCAGGCTTCTTCTAGAGGTGAATACTGAATAGAGTGGCGAAGTTTTTGATTCTTTATTTCATTTATCGGATTTGGTAGGAAGCCATTTGTTTATAGCAAAGATTTGGAAGTTGAAACCCCATTTTGTTCATATCTATTTGTCCAGTACAGGACTAGTATTGCTACGAGTCCCTCTCAATTTCTTTGATTTGCTTGCCTCGGATTTCGGTCGATTAGATGTCGTAACAATGTTCGATCTTTGTTCTGGGGTTTTGCAGATGATGCAACTGATGGGCACACCCCACCTCATGGATCAAGAACAAGAGGAGTTTTAACTGCTAGATCAACTCCTCCTCCTATAAGGAAAAGAGCTCCATTGAAGAGTGGTGACAAGAGCAAGAGTCCTGCTATGAAGAAACCCTTGGAAACTTCTGCAGTCTCCAACAGCTCTTTCACTGGACACGATGATGCTGGTGTGAAGCACAGGATTGATGATGAACCCCACAATAAGTTGATGAGACCAGGCACAAGGAGAGCTTTGTTCGGTAAGAATTCAGACGACAAGACAGTGATGGACAGTAGTGCGAACTCGACAGTTGTTAGTCAATCCGTTGAGAATCACCACCATCACGGGAATCACAAAGAATGTGAGGACTTGACTTTGATCCGCAGCCAGCTTCTCCAGATCGAAAAGCAGCAGTCCAGTCTGCTCGATCTCCTCCAGGTTAGTTTCGCCTGCTCGAGAGCTTTCTCCTATGCACTGATAATCGAGTTGGTTGGTCCATGATGGTATAGTATCTAATTTGTTCTGTTTGTACTTTGTAGAGGTTCATTGGGAGTTCCCAAAACGGAATGCAGGCACTGGAGTCCCGAGTGCAAGGGCTGGAGTTCTCACTGGACGAGATCTCTTACGACCTGGCTGTATCCACTGGGAGGATGTCCAACAACGCCCATGGAGGTGCCTCCTGCTGCAGAATACCCGGTGCAGATTTCTTCAGCTCCAAGTTATGGCGGAAAGCAGATGCCCACAATCCGACTCCCCGGTTCTCTACATCAAGAGGCATCTCGTCATTGGCCGGCATGCGCCCCACGGCAGGTGGTAGGAAAAGCAGCGCTGAGACCTTCAACCTGGACGACTGCAGGCTCCGCCTTCAGCATGGTGGCCGCCGTGGATTAATTGTGAATCCCCTTGCAGAGATTCACGACTCTCGTCGGGGTCTCGCTGCTGCTGGGCAACAGTAATAGTTCACTGGATCCAGCAGGTAATGAAGTAAATTGGTTTCAACCATGTTCATTATTCTTCTTCTTCTTCTTCTTCACGTTAGAGGAAAGAGGATGTGTTTGTTCACGTTAGCTTCTAGTCCAATATCTCTCTGCAACGTGATGCTGCCCCAATTCTCCATGACTGACTCCTAATTCACTACTCGACCTGTGGCAGTTGCAGGCTCGCTCTGTCTATCTTTTTGGCAGATGCAGCGTCACAGCTGGATGAGTTTGATTAATGGACGATAGAAGTTTTGCTGGGTTTGCAGATGAAAGATTAGTTTCTATTTCCGTTCCATGTGGCGAAAGAGGACCAGCAGCCAAAGCCGGTTCTCGAAAGGGTCGCCATGTTTTGGCGTTTTGTTAGTAAAGAAATTTCTTGGCATTTGCTGCACACGCACGAGGGTTGCGGGGTTTCCCTAACCAAGAGAGTGCAGACTGCATAGCTTGGCGTGTTATTATTTGTATAGAGATAGCCGCAGCAGCAGTAACAATGAATGTCTGTTCTTATTTTGGCGTGTTCTTCATCGGTGTTTCCACTGACTGGTTGGTTTCATGGTTGATCATTTGTTACTCATTTTCTGTATGTACCTTCTTTTCTTCAGCTAGAGTTCTTCGGGAAATTTATCATTTTCAGAACACGAATCTGTATTCAATATGGAGCTTGATATCAGACTGATCCCAGATACAGATTTGGCTCAATTTAGATATTGTGCTCACAGGTCACCTGCGAGAACATTGCTCATAGCACCTCACGTCCGGATCACTTAGCGGACACTCCGCAACCGCCTGATAAAATGCCAGCAGGTCCATCCGACGGCTGTGCTCTCGACCTGACTGGCACGAGATTTTGTAAGCACGTATTCACAGACACCTTGTGAGCAACATAGTCGAATAGGATTTGGCTGACTTAAGTGTCTACTACTAACTCAGCTACATAATGGCAGAATTCTCGACAGTATAGCGGTAACATAATAACTTTCCTCTTCTTTTCACATCATTCCAGCGACCAGCAGCAACATGGCTCAATACGTACGTTTAGTCGACAACGATCAATCGATCATTCATGCCACGGTAAGTGGGTAGGTAAAACACTAAAAGCGGAAGAGCTCAAAACCTAGTTTGTGTGACGTGGCAGCAGTGAGATTCACAAAGGGGCTAACGTAAAGAACTCTCAACTCCAAAGTCGCAACTCATTGCACTGAGAAAATGATCAATAAAGTCTAAACCATATAAGAACTTGCGTACGATGTAAGCAACAGGTAGTTTTATTCATTCAAGTTGTTGTCAATCAATCCACACTTTCGAAACAAGAAAGGCAAGTAACAGTTGGTTTGGAGAACATACTTCATAAAGAATACAAAATCTCCAGCTTGCTGATCTAAACCCAACAGTACAAGCCTAAGATTCCCATCATTACACTCTCTGCTCCAAAGATTGGAAGCAAGGTAGCGTTAACGATTACATTTGGTGAAGGCTTTACGATATCACTAACCCGGAACTTCTGGTAATGAAGATCATCCAGCCAAGGACGTGATAATGATTTCATGCTGATTGCTCCTCGGTCGCTTCCTTCTCAAGCTTCTGCAAGAACACGACAGTTCAAGTAATCGGTCAATCACAGGACTTACACCATGTACACATGTATCTTTTGTCTAGTTATCAGATGAATCAGCAAAGCATCAAGCTCAACAACAAAGAGTAAACAACGATGAAGTCCTCAGCAGTATAGTCGTAGTAACATGAAACACTTTTGAGTCTATGACAACCAGAAAGTTATTGTTCAAGATAGCTTGATACAAAGAAACAAGTGCATAGCTAGCTGTACACCTCTTTTGCAGCAAATTCTTTCCTATAACTGAACAGAACTGAACAATGCTTCCACGAACACGTCTTGTATAATAGAATGCAACCCACGAGGGACTAACCAAACTGAACCCACCCAAGTTTTTAATTGTTGCTTTTCTCTGGGCAAGTAAGAGGAACCCAAAGATTAAAGATCCACACTGAACCCATTCACCTAAAGCAATCATATGGGGCAATTGGCAACAAGAGCGAAAAGATCAATGCTACTGACAATCAGAAACTTGATAGATGGCAGTCGCATTTTCCAAATTCAGCCCAAATGAAAAGGGCGGACTGGAAAGAACAATACACCCAAGTTTGCCCCAATCTGGTTCTCATGAATACAGAAAGGACCTAAACCCTAAGCTAAAAAAGTGATTAGAGATGAGGGGTCTGCATAACATATCGGAATCGAAGTCGTGAACAGGCGAAACGAATAGGGATCTGTCATTACCAGATCACAGGCACAGCAAGAAACAAGAATTCATCAGAGGCATATGAATGGGCGAATGGGAAGAAGAGAAAAGCAATGTGGAGTAGCGACGGGGTTTAGGTTTAGAAGGGTTTTTACCGTCTGCGCCTTGTGCCAAGAGAGACCGCGGTAAACGTTGACGGAGAAAGTGGCGGTTAAGTAGACGGTGGCGACACCGAGAGCCGCCGTGAAGCCCTTGAACGACCAGTCCGCTGCTTTGCTCGCTATTCCCATCTTTCTTCTTCTCTGCTCTGCTTCTCGCTGTGTTTCGTTTTTTCTTTCTTCTTCTCTCTCTCTCTCTCTATCTTTCATTACAGCCTGAAAGGTTCGTTAAATACAGGGTTTTAGGTCTTTTTACGTTTCTACCCACCACTTTATTGAAAGGGCTCTTTTAGTCCCTGAAGTTTCACGATCTCATAGTCGTTGTAAATCCCCAAAACTTATGTCTCTCCATGTAAAGCCCCTAAACTGTTCGACAAGTTTCAAAGAAGCCCTTTATAGTTACCTTGCTTCTTCGTTATAAAGGAACGGTTAAACTGGTGGAATTTTTTCCCCGGTAATTAATTGGTGTGTTTTCCGTTCCCCCTCGTCATTTGATCTTATTCTTTTAATTCCAAATGATTAAGTTGTAATTTTAATTTCAAATGGTTTTACAATTACATTTAAAAAAGTATACAATGATTAAGTTGTAATTTTAATTTCAAATGGTTTTACAATTACATTTAAAAAAGTATACAATGATTAAGTTGAAATTTTAATTTCAAATGCCCGATATTACAAATTACGTTAATCATCCTCAAAATTTGAGCTCGCTATAGCAACCTCCAAATTCCATACGATTATTTTTTATTCTCAACTCATTCATACGATCTCAATGCTCATAGATACCCTCATATTGGACATGGGGACCAAGCCCCAAAATAAGGGATGACAATCTCGATCAGACACACTTTATCAGATCTGTTTGACTTGTTTTAGAGCAACTAATACCCATCCCGTAGGCGGGGGCAAGCATGAGTACTCTACTCGGCCTGACATGCCTTGTTCTCAACTCGTTATTTACCTCATATTTTAGTTATAATAAACTTGTAAATATGTGAAAAAACTCAATTTCTAGAACAATTTAACCACATTTATTTGGTTATAGTTCGTATTTTTATTTTTTTAATAAAAATGAATATTTGTAATGTTTTCCTTTTAAATTACATTTCATGGATAGACCTGTCACGACACTAACTCCTGATAAATCATCTAACATACCATAGAACAGAACGAATATGAATATCAAGAAACCAACTCGACCTCCCATTGCCATTGCCATTCCTGCCCTACTGAATACAACAAGAATAACTTCAAGAGATTACACGCCACTGTGACAGACCAAAGGGAGAGGGGAAAGAAATGCACTTAACAACGTTTGTGTTTCTGTAATGAACAAAGGGTATCTATATTTATATATATGCTATGCCTACAGAGGGGAAAAATTACAACATAACAGAGAAGCAATAACAAGAATCGTCTTGAAACCAATGGTAAATTCCCCACCCTCTCCTCTTCTCCCTCGTCTCTTAAAGAAACAGTAAACAGAACATAAAGAAAACAAAGCTAGATGGTCGGTCATCTGAGCTCTTTCTCCCACCATGTAAGAGTTAAAACGGATGCACATTTGCTACCTTGAGACAAGAATGAACACTCAGGCAGCTGGTAACCGGCTTTTCTTTACTTCAAACCCCTACCTCCAACTCCAGCAGCTGGACCTCCATCCTTCCTTCCTAATCCAATTTCTTCTCCGACGAACTCGCAAGCTGTGATTCCTGGCAAAAACAAACAAGTGCATCAGAAATACTATGCTGTTGAAGTTCTCGTGCTGCAAAAACTTAAGCCGTGAACCACGCTGAAGTTCCGCGGTACAAGGGGAGACAGTATTTGCAGGGAGCTGGAGGAAGAAGGAACCATATGCCGTGACAGGCTAAATAAACACATTACAAAGGTTGATCAAACCCAAAAGAAGTAATCATGCCTTCTGCGTCATCTTTTCCCCTTGTGTGTCGAAGCATATGCTACTTAATTTATTTACTCTAGCATTCCCCATTTACTCCTGTTTCCAGTAGGCACAAGTTAAAACGACAGAAACGAACTCCACGCCCCCTATTCGATGTTCTTGGTTGTGGCAACTCTTAACTAACACGATAATCTAAGGCAGCAGTGCATCCATTCACAACCAAGAGAACTAGAAGATACCACAGATATGTGCATGATTTCCAAAATCAAGAGCGATGTAAAATCAACCAACCTCACAAGAAACCTGGTCCAGCCTCTGACTGCTGCTAGCCAATTGGGTGGCCAAGCTTGACTGGCACTCCACTGAACCATCTTCCTTCTCAACCATCCTTCTCTTCAGAAGGCCATCCTCGATCGACGAATTCCCATCACAGGTGCTAAGAGAGTCTTTCTTCCGTTTCCTTGTGAAGGTGTACTTTATGAACTTGTTACTTACCGGCTGTGCAGGAATCGAATCAGTTGCTTCTTTTAGTTCCTTGGGCTCTGAGTTTTCTGCCAACGAGACAATGGCAATCTCATTATCAGATTTACTAGCTACAACCTTGGGATACTCCACAGACTTAACATCCTCCTCCATGCCCACCATTGACATCTCATCATTGCTTCTGGTCATTTGGACCGAACAAGCCCTAAGAGAAAACCCTGCATTATTTTCTTCCCCAACTTCTGCCAATCCAGACTGTATGCTCGATTCGTTCGACTCTGGAATTTCTTTTCTTCCAGCCACCTCAAATTCAGGATCTTTATCCTCAACTCTCACAGGATCATCTCCAAATTTAGCATTGCTGTTGTCTGGATTCTGATCAAGAAACCTCCTAAAACATACATTCTGCTTTCTATATCTATTGGCTCTCTTCCGTTTTCTGTGGAAAGACTTCAAGGCATAAGCTCGAATAGATTCGGATTCTGTCTTTACTTCATCTTGGTTATTCTCCATACCAGGTGCAAGTTCATGCTTTGGAGCAAGTTTTTGACATGTATGCTTCTCGTCCTTGTGATTTTTTCCACCATTACCCTGACCAGTAATGGCAAGAGTTCCACCCAAGATATTTCCTTCCAAAGCACGGATTCTGTGAGTGCATCCATTTTTTAACAGCTCGGGCTCTTTGCTTCTTATCATTATGGAAGCAAAATCAGGATCACAAACAAAGCAAATGTCCTTATCAGTACCAGTTTCCGTACAGTGTTTGTTCTGGTGGTCATTGTATGTGCCCTTCGAAGAAGAATTTGTAATGCCAATAGTTGGAACAGGGTCAGTCTCAAGGGCAGGTAAAGAGGAGACCACAGGAACAGAAGTGCAAATTATGTTCTGCTCCAATGTTGTCGTCTCAAGAGTATTATCAGAGCCAGGGCTTCTTTCACACAAGGGCTGCACTTGATTGGTTGTTAATCTCTCCAACTCATCCTGCAGTTCTCTCAACTCTGCTCTAAGATCTTTAACTATATCCTCAGCTTCCCCAAGCTGTGCTTCTAGCTCATCAATCCTTTTCTGTTGATTCGATGATGTGATTTCTGCTTCACTGACCTGAAGTCATGGAGTAGAGTGAATTAAAGTACACGAAAGGGAGAGTAAAATGTTGGGACATAGATTCACACCAATGAGTATAGGGGTTTAATCAATGTTAGACAATACTAGCTATGCTTTCAGCAAACATAATCATTTAGATCAGTAAAAAATTACATTGGAAAGCCAAATTCCAAGGCAAAAGACAGATGTTTATCAGCCAATGTACTAAGTGAGGCATTGCACTGGTTTATATGCTTCCATAGCTTTATAAGTTTCCAAATCGGATACACTGCCACAGTTAAAATCAACTAAGAACATCAGATTACTTATAAACTATTTACAAGTAAAGTGCTCAGCCTGAATGTTCGAGACAACAATAACTCCATCCGAATTGCAAAATGGTACTCTTAACCAAAGACCATCAACCCTTGAACACCTTTCACAGCTCAGGACATTACACCTTGGTGAGGAAGCTAATATGATAGGGAAAAACAATAACCACTCGGTTCAGCAGTCGAATCAAGAGCAATGCCTTGTTTTGTAAGTGCAACCAAAGCTAGAGAACCACAGAGACCCATAAACACCGCGACAAAACCTATTCGCAGTTGCCTACGAGAACACTCTACAGTTCCACCCCCATTAACTGCTACTCCTTACTACCAGAGATGAACCAAGCAAAACAGACCAATGCAGCTCGAATTTGGGACCTTGATCGTCAACAAACCATCTGTAAATATAAAGAATGAAACAGAAACCAAGAACATAGGAAAACAAGCTCCATTTGAAATACATAACCATAACCCCATCCCAAACAGAATTTCCACATCCCAAAACCTAATATGCAAAAAACTCTGAAGAAATCCGCAATAACGATCAAAACAGAATCGAGAGGCAGTGTCATTGTCGAAAGAAGCTGAAGAGACTGAAGCTTGGACAGCAAAACGGAAGAAAACAAAAAGGTGAAAAGAAAGAAGGGAAACCGTTATTACCTTAGCATCCAACATCTGTTTGAGCCGGAGAAGCATCCGCAACGCGTCGTCCTTGGCCGCGAAGATCTCCCGCTGGTACCGCTGAGCTTTCCTCTCCGAAACCAATACCCTCGCCGCCGCCTCCTTCGCCGTGTTCAGTATGATTTCGGCATAGGCCTTCTTCAACGCGGTCAATTTCTGAGCAACCGGAAAACCGTCAAAGATCAAAAACCAGAAAGACTGTTAACTATCGCAATCAAAAACAGCAAACCATCTGCAAATTTCAAAAAAAAAAAAAAGTGATTCAAAAGAAGAAAACCGAATCATCGGACTCCCGGCTTCCTCCAAACGCGCCGAAACAGCATTGGAACTCCGACGGAGGCTGTCACGGCGGTATTGGAGTAAGCGGCCGGGAAAGGTTATTTTACCTCGGAATCGGCCATTTTAGCGGGGCGGGGAATGCATAGAGATGGAAGAAGAAGTGTTAGTTAGTTGGTGGTGAAGACCTCCCAAGTTGTTAAAGGCGAAGAAGGAGGTTCCGTTCTTTTCTTTTATGTTTTCCCTTTCTCTTCTCCCATTTTTCTTTTTTTAACTATTAATTAATTTGTATAATATTTCCCTTTCTCCGCAAGCAGCTGTCTGTTACGAAGTACGAACTGAAACTTCCCCACAGTTACGAAAAAGCCCCTGCAGTTCATGCTCTTTACCTTTCTCCACACCACGTCCCATTAACGGAAGCAAAACGCGCCGTCAGTCCGTTACCCGCCGTGCCGGAGTTGCTGACTAGGCAACGACGTGGCCGAATGCTGCCATGCTGGGCGTGCGTTTATGAATAAAGGAGTGACACGTGGCGGAGCGCATGTAGTGGTTCGTGCGATGATGGCAGGGGATTGGGCACGTTGGGAAGCGGGAAGGGGGGGGACTACGGTAGGCCGGTAGGGTGAGAAGCAGGTGATTATTTGGACCGTTATTCTTGATTTGGGAAACGGAAAGGGAAAGCAGGAAAAAAAGGGTGAAAGGAGCGCGGATTCGTGTTGAGGAGGGAATAAAAAAAAAACTGTCAGTTGACGGGGGGCACTTGGTTCGTCAACGTCCGTTAACGGGTTCTGAGAGGGAGATGGTCAGATGGATGGTGGATGGTGGGGACAGTAACGAAGAATAAACGGAGCAGGGTGGGACATTTGGACGACGGCGACGGGTGGTTCAGTTAAGTCTAACAACATTGTGGCGCCAAAACTAGGGTGAAGTCATCAACGGATCAACCCAACTCCCCCAGCGACCGAGGGCCTGTAATAAGAAAAGCCCAATATATAGGGCCGAGGCCCATCATGGTCAGAGGTCCATAAAGCCCACACTTCACTCGGACGAGGCCCATCATGGCTCATGGCCAGAGGTCCATAAAGCCCACAAGCAAACTAGAACGCAGTATTTGGTGTTTTTGTTTCAGGTAGGGGGTGTGCAACGGTTCGGTGCGGACCAAACTCATGAGAATTGCGGTATATTAGTGAAAGACAATTTAGAATTAAGGATCGGACAATCATTGCGTTCGGTTGGTTCATCGTTTCTTCAATAATTGTAAAATTCATTTGAACCAAGGACCGAACCGTATTATAGTCCGTCCGGTGCAATCTGGTCCGGTCCCGAACCAGACCATTGCACACCCCTAATTTCAGGTTTTTTTCATTCCATTAATAGAAGGACCGAAGGAGTTAGCAAGGCGTGGTGCGGCGGCGGCTTGGGTGGCTGGCTGAATCAGAATGATGTTAGTAGTGGAAGAAGAGAGCTCTTGTGGTTTGGTGAGCACTGAGCAATCTCCATCTGAGGTAAAATTATCATTATCCCACTGCTCCCCATTACCTACAGGAAAAAGTACCACCATTATTCGTCCATGTATGCATCCATTTTCCTTGGTGCAGGGTGATATATGCACCCAAAAAAATTTCCTTGGATAATCGTTGTTGTTGTTGTGTCACATCCAACAGTTTGCAGTTTAGTGCAGAATTCACTATATTTTTATTCACAGGTTCTTTCCAACTTAGGGTGCGTTTTAGTTTAAGTGCAGAATTCAGTATGGAAGGAATCTGGATCTTGATCCTAAATCTTCTTATTCCTTTGCTCCCACTGGGATTGGTGGTTATGATTATAGGGTGAGGTTGTCTTTTGTTATTGGCCTTTCCAGCCCCACATAAGGAGAGAGAAAAAAAGGTCTCTCATTCAGCCCTGCAAGAAAAAGGCTTCTTTCTGCTTGCATGCCAACAATTGGTTGGGAGGGTCCTGTTTTGATTTTTCATGATTTCAAGCTTTGTATAACACAGAAAGTGTCCTTCTTTCATTAGAAGCATTCATCAAAATTTCCAATTTTGGAAAAAAGGTTTCCTTCCTCGCAATTGGTGGAGCAACACTCAAATCTACCGGTATCCCGGGTAGGTTAGTGGTGCTCGATATGATGGATGAGTTGGCAGATTCTTGCTGGAGTAGAGATGGTGTATATATTGGATTTGTTGGGAAGAAATCAAATGGTAAAATTGTATTAGAGGTTGTAGCAGAAAATTTACTAGTATGATATTGATGAGTCTTCTTTTTAGCTTTAAATATTTGTTATATGAAGTGGAGGATACCTTCAAATTTACTTGTGTCTAAGTTTATATTTCTTGATCCAAGCGACCACAACGATTCACTACCTACCATTATCCTGTTAGAAGATAAAAGTTTTAGTACCTTATTGTAATTAGCCGTATATAAAATATGTTAATTGTTGACGTGGATTAGGGTTAGTATGGGCGGCCGAGATATATACTCGGGTAAAGGGTTGTAGCTTTTGTAACTTTGGTTGCTGAACGTGAATAAGAGTTCTGAGTGTTCTCCCGTGGAATAGTCTCAACGATCATCATCGTTGGGGAAACCACGTTAAGCTTGGTGTGTTGCAATCTTGTTTAAGGTTTATTGACATATCCCATATATGCCTGAGAACACAAGTATGATTCCAAACTCTAAAGTCTCCCAAACCCCTTAATCTTTCACAATAACCATATATTTCAAGACATCGGACGATTTAGACAGAGTTCCATTCTTCTCCAACCCCCTATAAAAATGGGGTTGCAAATTCCCTCTATACCATGCAGGACCCTGTGTGACAAAAGGAAGATGCTCATCCAATCCAATACTGTTACATGCTTGAGATTACCGAAGACACTAACAGAATGCGACCTACATAGTTCATAAGGTTTGAGTGTCAACCGTGTATTCTATAGGTGATCTCTCAACTAGAACAATACAATCATATTTGATAAATTTTCTAGCGAAGGGGGGGGAACCCTAGATACTTAACAAGCGAAGTACCAAGAGGAAAATCGGTAGAAGCATCAATATGGTTGTGATTTTCTTCAATAATACCACAAAATATTTTGGCCTTTGTCAGGGTTGGACTTTAGACCATGCATTTTATAAAACTTAGTCAAAAAGCTTTTAGTTTCCTCTACTGGAGCCTCAAATCCTTTAAAAGAAAGAGAAGATAATCCGCAAAACATATATGTGATATATTCAAATGCTAACAACGAGGGTGACAAGGAATATATCCTTCCGTAGTAGCATTTGCATTGAGTTCGAAAAACTTTCATCGATATAGTGAATAAATATGGGGATAATAGTTCTACATATCTAATACATTTTTCGCCAACAAAGTATCCACAGAGTCCATATTTAACGAAACACTAAATGGGAGAAGAAACACAGACTTGTACCATATTCACAAACCAATTAGGGATCCTCATGGCGCACATGACTCTGAATAGAAATCTATAGTTCACTGAATCAAAGGCTTTCATTAAAATCAGTCTTAACTACACATCTAGGGGCTATAGATATTTTGTGATATTTTTTTATCAACAAAAAAATTAACATAAATTATATATCTTCAGTCTCGTTCCTTAAATCAAATTGAAGTCGAATTAAACATGAAGTTATTTTATCTGGTGGTTTGATAGAGCAAAGATTTAGCGAGTCTCTCTACCCCAACCTAATTAGCAGTATTAGGATCCACTAAAAATCCACATCTTCATCCAGGACAAACACTATTTGAAGAAAGTTTAATGATGAGAAGAAAGCCACGTACTATGCAAAACTTCAATCCACAAGCAAAGGCAATCCGACTATTGTGCTCACAACACAATGAGTAAGAACGTGCTCACGTAGGTAGGGAGCCATCAAATCAAGCACTCGGCGCCTCATGACCATTGGATAGATGTGGTGTCAATTTTGTACATAAAATGTCATCACATTCACACAACGATCGTGAGGCTTTCAACACCTTATCTGACGACTCTCAATCTAGTAAGAACGTTCTCACAAAAGGGTGATTGAGCACCAATAACCGGATTGAAACCGTGGAACCCACACTTTTGAATGAGGAAATAAATTTCTTTGAGCAACACTTTATAGGACAACATGAAAAAAAATACATCACCAAATAAAAGCGCAGAGGAAGGTTCCCCTTTTCAAGCCGATTTTACAATGGTACTCCATCTCTTTTCTCTAGCTGGTGAACCATTTGACAAAAAGGCCTCTAGGCCACACTTTATCGAGCCCCTTCTCTTTCCCACGATCCCACCTCTTTTTAATTCCTTAATCAATCCTTTCCTTTACTTATCCTCCAATTAGTTAGGTATCGTTTGAAAATTGCGATTGTTAAATAGATGTATTGTTGAGAATGCATGTATAATATTATACATGTATTGTCGAATTTGATGCATTGTAGAATACAACGTTTGGTATGTGTGATTGTGTATGTCGCATCAGCTAAAAGCTGAGACAAAACAATCTCAACTCAACTATCTCAACAATCACAACTAAAAGTTGAGATATAACAATCACTCAAAATGAGTGATAGTTTCTGTCACATCACAGAAACAATCCATGTATTGTTTCTGCTAAAAAAACAAAAAAAAAAACGATGCATTGTAAACAATACATGCATAATGACAATCTCAACAAAACTATCGCAACTTCCAAACGACCCCTTAGTTTAATTAATCTCTTACAAACTTTATTATATCGACCGATCAGATTAGAAATATCGAATACCAAAGTTCAAACAGTAAGCATTTTAACCGTACAAAAATTATTGAATTACGATTCAATCACAATTTTAATATCAATTACTCTATTACTAACTTTATTATATAACTTTGGATATGCTTCCACAATCATTAGTTTCAACGAGACCTACCACCATAGCCACCCATCGGAGAAGTAACCCTCACAATCACAAACACAACACCTCCCTAGTCCCCACCATTTCCCTCCTCCCTTGGCTCCTTCCTTTGAGATTAAGCAAAACCCTTTTGGGGGCAAAAGATTAGGAAAGAAGGGCTGATGGTTGAAAAATGAAAGAAAAGATGACAAAGGCAAAAACAATTATTATTGTTAATTATCCCACATGTTCCTT